AGTTTTACCTTGATATATAACAGACAGAATTATAAAGTGTTGAAGGTAAAAACACAAATCAGTTGTTGACCCAGTTCGGTGAAACACACCTACTCTGGGGGCATACCAAGCCAGGAAGAAGATTCACTATCAGCAATATTAATTCAGGACTAAACTACACAAGTTCCCATCCTTCACTTAATCATCTACCCAGTGCAACCTATACTTAGGAACTCCTAGATAGAAACCTACCAGTTTCCATTCCTATTGCCGCAGCAACAGAAGTCTTACTCCTACTCAAGAAGCAGTGCCCTCCCACTTGGTTTCCTACATTACAATGAATATGGAGTAATGCAAAAATACTTAGACTTGCTTCATAGCTTCATCCAAGAACACTCAAACTCTTACCTACAGGTTTCGAGTTACATACATGGTAACCTTGCCACAGACCGACAGGTTTACCTAACAAAAACCCCCAAAGTTACATTATGTGCGTGTTCCAAACCCTAGGTTACAATCTGCTATTTATAACCTATTACCCAACTCAGCAAGTTTTTCTCCTTGCTGTTACAACTCAGCAGCAAACTTCTCCTATAATCAAGGTCTTCAATCTTCTAGTTCCTAAAATATCTCCATATTTAGAAACAATATTTTCTTCAAATAATCTGATTGATTCTTGATTGATCTTCAGATTCTCCATAAGAAACGCCACATATATTCTCAGAGTATTTAAGTACCAGAACTGTAACTGAATTATCAATTCTGTTGACGTGATGTCAAGTCAGATGTCATGACATTACATCTAACATGTTTTCCTAGATGTTGAACTTTTTCAACACAACAAATAACCTCTTTCATAATTTAGATCACTTAGAATAGTTAGGTTACAAGTCACAGCTGTTACAAACATTCAACATATAACATAGTTACTTAATCAGTACTTAATTTCAGGCGCGATGTCATATGCTGATGTTGTGACATCTTACATAACATGTTGGTTCAGATGTTGAACTTCTTCAACACCACATATTAAAACAACAGAGGGAACATGGGTAAACTTGCTTTCTTATTTGTTTTACAAATGAAGCCAACTCTCCAGCCAGGGCACTTACAAAAACAACATCTCCCATGCATTTTGGATTCAAACAATTATTTGGACCTGACATTTGGCTAATACCCCTCCCCAAATTACTTAATCAAATAAAATACATCCCCTGGTTATTTATAAAATTTTATTTATTTATTTTCCATAGTTTATTTATTTGTTTATTATTTTTCTAAATTATATTATAATTCTTTTTTTACCAAAATAACAAAACAAAAACATTTTTATATATTAAACTTAATTAGTTTATTTTTTAATTTTATTAAATATTTTTCTTTTAGAAAAATAATAACTTTTCTTAATAATTATTATTAGATTATCTAATTTATGTTATTTTTCTAAGTATTTTCAAAAATACTAACTAACTATTTCTTTCAAATATTAATTAGATAAATTATTTTTACCGCTATCTTCTACTAACTATAATTTTTTTCTATACCTATTATTTTCATATATTAGTTAATAACAAGTTTTTTTTAACTTCAAATATCATGCATTTTTTTCTAATTTTTATCAATTATGCATTTCAATTTTATTTTCAAAATCTTAAATTAAACATTAAGACAGGTAACCCATCAAATTATTATTTTCACTAACATAATAAAAATTCAAGATTATTTAAAAAAAGGATTAAATAGCACTTCTTTCAAACTAAACTTCAAACTACGTCTACGATTACTAAATTTTCAAATACAAACAAATTTAAAAGGTTAATTTTATAGCAATTTTATGCAATCCTATAAAAAAACTAACCAAACATATACAAACTACGAAATGGACTCTGATTTTTTCACAAGAGGATACGTAGGCATGCGGTTAAAATCAAGGCGAGTCCCCTAACTAAAAATCTAAATCTTTTCATGAATACATGGTAATAACACATTTAAGTAGAAATTCCCATCATGTTCTAAATCTAAAAAGGGTCCCCTTGAGTACAAGGGAGGTAACATGTGTTTAACACCTTCCCTTTATCTAACCCACTCGCGAACCTAAAAATCTCTGAAAATTAGTGTTTTTCCGCTCCTTTCCCGTCTTTAGGACAAAAAGTAGTGGTGTCACTCTCGTATTTTATGTCGGTTACGACAACGATCTTGTCATTAATTGGATTGAACAACATGCATGCTCTAGTTTTGTGATATCCTACCAGAATCACATATTCACTCTTTTCATCAAGCTTTATCCTTCCCACATCGGGAATATGCTTGTAACAAATAGATCCAAACACATTCAAATGAGTCATTGATGGTCGTTTGCTACTCCAAACTTCTTCAGAAACATTGTTTTTCAACTTCTTTGTAAGACACGTGTTCAATATATAAACAGCAGTGGAAATAGCTTCACCTCATAAGGATTTTGGTAAATTCTTCTGCTTCAACATGTATCTCGCCATGTCCAATATGGCCCAATTTCTTCTTTCTACAATTCAATTATATCGAGGCGTGTAAGGAGAAGTTATCTCATGTTCGACAACATGTTCTGCATAGAACTCCTCAAACATTTTGGATGTGTATTCGTCACCTCCATATGTTCATAGAACATTTATCTTCTTATCACTCTGATTTTTGACAAGTATCTTGAATCTCTTAAAGATTTCAAATACTTCGTCCTTTCACTTGATCACATAGATTTAGAGCTTTTGACTGTACTAATAAACAAACGAGACAAAGTATTTGTTTCCACCAATGGTATATTCCTCAAACGTGCCACATACATCTGAATGTACAACTTCAAGTATGCAGGAGGATCTCATTGATATAGTCGAAACAAAAGAATTTTTGGATTGCTTTCGACTAAAAAACCTTCACAGATTTTGTCGGGCATCATAAGACTTGGTATGCCATTTATCATCTCTTGAGTAATCAGCTGATTGAGTGACCTAAAATTCAAATGGACAAACCTCAAATGCCACAACCAACTATCCTTGTGGTCGACGACTGTTTTCAAGCATTGTACCTCTGTCAAATTGATCATAGTCTTCAATGTCTAATTCTTTGACAGCAGAGATTTTAAGACCAAATTGTTCTGGGTGTCGAACAATTCTAAAGATCCATCTTTCATGACGACTGATAAACCTTTTTCTACTAGTTGTCCAACACTTATTAGATTGCACCTCATGCCAGATACATAGAGTACATCTTTGATTATAGCTTTTGCTTCACTGCTCATTTGAATAACAATGTTGCCAGTACCCTCTGCTTGCAACGAGCTATTATTTGCAAGTTTAACTTTATTCTTCTTCGACTCGTCTAAATCTACTAACCATTCTTTTCGACCAATCATGTGATTCGAGCAGCATGAGTCGAGGAACTAAATCTTGGATTCGACGTTCTTATCTACAACTACAACCATAACCACCATATCTTCATAATTATTTGAATCTTGGCGTGCAAGGTTTTCTCTTTCATCATTTCCTTTTGTTGATCCCTTGTTTATCTTGTACCAACCATTCTTAGCCAAGTGACCCCACTTTTCACAGTTATAGCATTACACACCTTTTTTCTCTTCTTTGCCTTTCTGATTGGAGTTTCCTTCTCTCTTTTTTAGGATTCAGAAGTCTTATCATTGACCTTGTGCTTTTGAGAGTTCGACCAAGACTTCTTGCTCTGATTCTTGTCTGCTTTGCCTTTGAACTTGTAGGAACCACCTTGTTTCTTCCATGCCTGAGCCTGCAGTGCTTGTATCGAATCTTGAACTTTTTTCCTTTCGACAATCCTAATCTCATGCGCCTCTAAGGAACCAACCAAATCTTCCAATTTTAGGGTTTCAAGATTATTGGATTCTTGAATATCTACGATAACGTGATAAAAGTAAGAGGTCAGCGTACACATTACCTTATAAATTATCATCTTATCAATTAGGGTTTCACCACAACCCTTTATGAGATGGACGAGCTTCTAAACCTTCAACACACAGTCTGCAATCTTTTCATCTTCTCCCATCTGCATCAATTCATACTGTGGCTGCAAAGTCTGCAATTTAACAACTATGACTTTCTCACCTATTTCATAGTACTTGACAAGAATATCACATGTCTCCTTCGCTGATTCAACATGAAAGATTTTGTCAAAATTCACCAAATCTATTGCCGATTGAATGTAATATGCAGCCTTGCAATCTTTCTTCTTAGCATACTTGTGGGCGATTATTTATGCATTTGTGGCATCCTCAGCAAGCGCAAGAACGCCATTAGTAACCACTTTTAGGGTTTCACAAAATCCAAACAGAGATTGCATTTATTTTCTCCATTAGATCAAATTCTTGCCGTCAAAAGTTAGAAGAGAATTTGGAATACCATTGTTACAATTCATCTTTGTAGCAATTGACTCACATTCTCTAGAAACACGACCACCAACGTGAAGTACTTGAAAACAATATCTAGAACACGAACTAGAAGCTCTAGATACCAATTTGTTAGGTCATGAGGAGAAGCATCAACATTGAATCAAGAGAAACACACAAGTGAGAGAGACACCACATATTCACCCAAAACCTTAAAATAATAGGTGTGTGAGTTCTCCCACTTATAAATGTCCAAATCTCTACATTTATAACCACTATGATACTCCAACTCACATTTAACTTATTATTCTCAACAAACTCAACATACTATAAAGATTATCCTTTAAAAATTTTATAAGTGTATACTTCTCATTTATTAGGGGATTCTATTCTATCTTATAATATTTTTCCTTAGTTTTTAGCTTTTTAGCTCTCTCTTGTATAAAAAATAACACCTACCTTATTAACAAAAATCTCACCAATTCAACATTAATTATTACTTTATTCTAATTCTCATCACATTACATTTTCTTCCATATGTTTGAGCTCACAATAACATCACGACATGGGATCAACAAAAGAAAGAAAAATAAAAAGCAAAGAAAAAAAAGTTGATTTTTAGTAGCAATTCGAAAGGCTAGACCCTAGCAAGTTTAATTTCCTTAAGCTCCTTAATCAATTCCACCATATTATTATAAGAAGAACCACCAACTTGAACAGCTCTCTTTGCTTCAACACTCAACTCCTTAACTCTTTTCCTCATAGCAACTTCTTCTTCACCACCATCCATCATCAACCTAATAGCATTCCCAATCTCTTCCCTTTTCACAACCTCACTCCCAAACTCATTCCAATTCCTCCATTCTTTAGCTCCAACAGGAACACCAATCTTCAACACATCAACCACAAGCTTTTCATTGAAAAAATGTTCTGCAAACAAAGGCCATGTCACTGTTGGTAACCCAACATTCACACTTTCAACAACTGTGTTCCAACCACAATGACTCACCAACCCTCCAATTGCAGGATTCTCAAGTATCAATAGCTGTGGTGCCCAACCCCAAATCAAATATCCTTTACCACTTTCCTTAACCTTTTTCTCAAACTCTTCAAGAAAAACATCACCTTCTTCATTTCCTTCGTTTTTTCTAACAACCCAAATGAAATCATGGCCCGAATCTTCAAGCGCATGTGCAATTTCAACTAGTTGTGAATAAGGAAACTTGTTCATACTCCCAAAACTCACATACAAAACAGAACACTCTGTTTTTGAATTCAACCATTTCAACCACCCTTCTTGTTCTTCTTTCTTCTCACGCTCTTGTTCTTTTGAATACCCTCTTGCAGCTTTATCTGAATCATCTTGATTAACCCACAAAGAAACAGGTCCAAGTCCCCAACTTTTAGTTCCCATAACCTTTTTATAATGATCATAATATTCACTTTCAAGTTCATAGAAACTATTAAAAACAGAACCAAAGCTCGTCCTCTCTGATTCCTTAATTACTTTCATCAAATCAGTATATTGATTCGGAGATCGAAGCCAATCCGGTATCTGCAAACGTGTCATCTCCAACTCATCAGGTAACTCCGGTAAAACGAACTTCTCAGTATCAGACTCAGTTTTCAAATGGGGTGCAAACAGTTCCACAGAATGAGCCGCAGAGCGAGCTAGATAACTGGCGCCATGAAACATAATCCTAGGAAACCCGAGTTTGTTAGCAACATCTGCTGTCCAAGGAAAGAACATGTCAGTGACAATGAAATCTGGTTCAAGTGTTTCAAAGAGGCTTTCGATTTCGGGTTGGAGAAGGAAAAGACCCATGTAGACTTTTGGGGTCATTTCTTTTGGTGTATTGACGCTGAAAGATTCTATTCCTACTGGTAGACCAACTTTGGCAGCTGGGAATTCGATGATGTGGGTTCTAATGGATCTACCACGAGATGAATCGAGGTCGATGGAGTTTTGGAAAATGGTGGAGTTGTGTTTTGTGGAGATAATGGTTACGTCGACACCATGAAGAGCAAAGAGTCTTGCCATGTCTACTAATGGGATGATGTGACTTGTTGAGAGAAAAGGAAGGAAAATTGACTTCAACTTCGGTTCATTTTGATTCCCCATGGTGATGGTGATGGTGATTTTGGGGTGCAATGGTTTTGTAATACACTTTGATGTGTTTTTGGTTGTTTATTTATATAAGATTGATTGAATGCTCTTGAAATTTTGTTTAATTAAGCAAATTTAGGTTTCTGCATGCACCGCGTGGAGCAGTTCCTCTTACAATTAACATTATAGAATATTATTAACATCATGGAATATTTAATAGTTAAATCGTGGGACACGAGGGCTTATTTTTTAAAGATTATTTCCTTTTTCCTCTTTGTAGAATTAAAGTTTTTTTTTTTTTTAAATTATATCAACCGAATGATTACAGCCCGTGAGTTGCACCGGGAGTATAATTTGAATTAAAATTTTTATTTTGGGTGCTGCAAGTCCAAGGAACAAAGGTTGAAGAAGAAATCGCACGGACTAGACGTACCCTCTGTTAGTTAATAATAATATTATTTACCTATTATCTTAACTAAAAAAATAAGGTGTACGAGTAATTATTGGATGTTATTGGGTTTCAGGTAGTAAGTTTTCGGTGTTATTCGATTGTTGTTGTCTCGTAACTTTGCATTTAAAATTGTAAAGGAAAAGACCATCGGGAGTCTTATGGCGGCTCTTACTAGCATGTATGAAAAGCCATCAACATTAAATAAAGTTCATTTGATGAGGAGGTTGTTTACATTATGTTAGCTGAAAATTTCGACGACACATTACATTAAGGAAAATGAAGAAGTTGAAAAATTTAACTATGGAAGAGAATATGAGAATATTTTCATATGGTCTTCGACTGACCAAACTGTAAATAACTTGGTTACATTAAAAGGTTCACGAAAGTTCTTATGTTGCGAAATATGTGGAACTTAAGGGAATTTCGAGTTTTGAATTCAAATGTTTCGACAGGCTACGTTATTGTTTTGGTGTTTCGAATCAAAGACAAATTTTAATTTAAATGAATTGATCTTATCCAGAAAGACGCGTGGAAGCCCGAGGGTTCAAGGAATCATGCAACATCGGACGTGGCGTTTCTATAGAGTAAGACTGTTAGAGTCGAATTAGTATAAATATGGATCTTTTGTATTAAGATTGGTGTGTTCACTTTTGTACAAGTTACTCATATAAACTCGACGTACCAGTGTTAGAGAAAATAGTCATTGAGAATGTACGTATGAATAACCACATTTTACTTAATTGTCAATTTACATTTATCAAAGTCATTTTTATCCCTTTTACTTTTAAGTCGAAGTCCTTTTGTTTTCCTATAGTCACTTTACATAGAATTTTTATCCTTTACATATTAACTATTACCTTTTAAAAGACGAGCATTCGAAAGATATAAACCTTTGAAATAAAACACACGTCCTAGGATCAATCTAGTTGATCATGTGAGTAACCAAATCTTTTTTCATTTTGGAAGACTAGCGGTTGTTTACCAATTTTCACGGTAAACATATTGGCTCGCCTAATGGGACCAGTGTCTTGTTCCGTTTTACAATTTTTTTTGTTTTGTGTCATTTCGTTTCAATTTGTTTGTTTAACCTTGTAGCATGAAATTAAGGAGTGGAAAATTAGTCAAAACTAACAAACCTATAACAAAAATAAAATACACTAGGAAGATGGTTAACCCAGCAATAACAATGAACAACCCCCTCCTTCAATAGGAGAAAGTACAGTTGCATCGTCTGCAACCGAATTAATACATGTTCAAGCAAATACAACTGGAAATTTGACAAATGCTTATGCGATGTATTGGTAAAGGATGGCCAGATAATTGTGCCACCTAGTGCCAAAATTCCCCCGTTAGAACAACGAAAGAAAATAGACTTTTGCAAATATCATAATTTTTTGGGACATAAAACCTCATAGTGTTTTCTTTTCAGAGATCTAATTCAGAATGCTATCCACAACAGAAGATTGAAGTTTGGCGAGAAAGTTAAAATGAAGGTTGATTTTGACCCTTTGCAGACGACAAAAACTTACTACGCTGAACCTTCTGACATCAATATGATGGAAGTCACTGAATGCTCTATTGACAAACACCCTGTGGGTGAAATCACTTATGGTTTATTTGTAGGTATCAAAAAGAAAAAGGCTACTGAAGGCCTCACCAATAATGTCAAATATGCTAAGATGGTTAGGGCTACTGAATGCCTTATGATCAAGTTCCATGGAGTAAGGATCACTGAGGGTCTTAATCTTGAAGTAAACATGGTTGAAATGAACCAACATGCTAAGAAGAACAATGTGGAAATGCGCATTCGACAGGAAGAGGGAAATATGAAAGTGGTGTATCCAAGATCTGAGGAGAGTATTTTGGACTTTCTTGTTCGATGTCAAAGGAAGCATTCTGAGACCCTCATGTGCCCCAAATGTAGTTCTATTTATGATCGAAAGGATGCGTATAACTATGAAAGAATGCAAAATGCTCGAAAGAGAGGAAATTGGAGAGATGCCAAAAACACCTTTGTGTTCGACAAGCATGGAGTTCCCAGAAGGCCAGACAACCCTTATCCTAAGGCGAGTCGAAGGGTGACCTTTAAGCCTACTGCAGATGTCCCATCTAACAAATGGGTGAAGCTAGAAGAAAATAGGGGGAAAGGCCAAGGAAAATGGAAGAGTTTCTAGTTTGGAAGAGATTCTTCTATGGCCTATAGGAAATAATTCCAAGTGTCAAAGCAACAAGCCTACAGATCTAAGAACTAAAAGGGCAAGAACCTAATGTCCAGGTCTCAATGGAGGAGACACCAAAGGCTTAAGAAGGCACAAAGAGAGATGGTAGAGAAGGATATAGGCGAATCAAGCACCAATCAACTCCCTCCTTGAAGCAAAGATGAGGATAAGAAGCCAGTGGGGAGAAAACTCTTTTCCCCAAAAAAGGAACAAATCAATGAAAAAAGATAAGAGAAGTCCATAGAGGACGAAGAAATGATGATTGATGACTTCGACTCAGAAGATGAAATGCCTTTGGGTTTGAATTGTAACGTGGTATATGTATTTCCACATGAGTATAATCAAGTAACTGAGGCCGAAGAAGATGAAATAGTCGATGCAATTGAAATGGTCAGGCATAGGCCAGTGTGTTACTATGTTATGAATAATGGGGTTGTTGAAGAACAAAATGCGTTCTTCGAACGGCTAGATGCATGTATGAAGAACCACTTAAAGCCCTTATTTATTAGGGGAAAGTGGAAAATACAGTTATAAACATAATCTTGGTTGATAGAGGAGCAGTTGTTAATCTAATGCCACAACGCTTGCTTCAGAAAATTGGAATATTTGACACGGATCTCAAACCACATAATATGGTCCTGTCAAACTACAAAGGAAAAGTGGGTCACGTTTTGGGTGTGGTTCAAGTAGATCTCACTATGGTTTCCATGGGACACCATGTTCATGGTGATTGCTTCAAAGGCAAATTACAACCTCCTGTTGGACCATGAATGAATACATGGTGTTGAAGCAGTTCTATCATCCTTACACCATAGGGTTGCTATATGGAGAGAAGATGGTATTGTGGGAAACATTGAGGTATATCAAAGATATTAAATGGCAGAGATCAACCATGTAGATAGGAATAACTTAGACAGAAACTTAGCCAACATAGCCCCATGTACTCGTGCAGATGTGGCTTACTCTCTGATGAACAATGCTCTTCACTTCCTCACACTCTACCCCACGCATGGATTTCTTTGGGATAAAGAAGCAATGGGGGAAGGAAACAAAGTAGAAGGAGTTCATGGACTTCGGCCAACTGGCTGGAGTGACGAAGATTGTAATGATGTCTAGGTCAAGTTACTTCGAAAAGATTTCATCCTATTTGGCTGAAAATAGATTAAAAACAACCTTAGAGGCTGAAGTTAAATATATGGTTGTCAAAGCCACAAAAGAAGAAATCCATCCGAAGGGACCTGAAATTAACTCCAAACTAGAGCCCCATGACGAAATGAAATCCTTAGAAGAAAAAGACCAGAGGCTAGATGCAATATATGACGAAGAGCCTTTGGGATTCGAGAAGTATCCAATAACAACGAGCACGAAGATGATAGCACATGATCCTCTCGAAGAAATAGATTTGGGCTATGGGTTCACTAAAAGACCCACGTACATCAGTGTAAAGCTCAACCCAGAAATGAAGGACAAAGTGATCCAACTGCTGAAGAATTATAGAGATTGTTTTGCATGGGATTATGACGAAATGCCAGGGTTGAGCAGATACCTGATCAAATTGAAGCTTCCTATAAAGGATGGAAAGAAGTCCATTAAGTAGACCCCAAGAAGATTCACGCCAGAGATTCTCACAAAGATAAAGGAGGAAATCGAAAGACTCCTCGGGTGCAAATTCATTAGGACCACAAGGTATGTCGAATGGATTGCAAATATAGTATCTGTTATTAAAAAGAATGGATTCTTAAGAGTTTGTATAGATTTTCAAGATTTAAATTCTACAACCCCCAAGGATGAATATCCAATGTCTGTGGCAGAAGTGCTAATAGATTTAGTTGCAGGCTTTGCATATCTTAGTATGTTGGATGGATATTCTAGATACAATCAAATATTTATTGCTAAAGAGGATGTGCCTAAAACAGCTTTTCGATGCCCAGGGGAATTAGGCACTTATTAATGGGTGGTTATGCATTTTGGTTTAAAAAATGTTGGGGGCAACATACTAGAGGGTAATGAATTATATATTCCATGATTTCATTGAGACTTTTATGCAGGTTTACATTAATGACATAGTGGTAAAATTTGTTTCAGATGAAAGTCATTTGGATCATCTTCGACAGTCATTCGAAAGAATGAGGAAACATGAGTTGAAGATGAATCCCCTTAAGTGTGCCTTTTTCGTTCATAGAGAAGGGAATAGAGATTAATAAAAATAAGATGAAGGCCACTATGGAAGCAAAAGCGCCATCAACAAAGAAAGAGCTGCAATCTCATCTTGGAAAAATAAACTTCTTAAGAAGGTTTATTTCAAACTTAAGTGGACGCACGCAACCCTCATTTCCCATTCCGCG